GAAGTAGCTTATCAATTTATTTGATTCTGTATAAAAACTCAAAATTCAACACAGCTTAGAAACCAAAGTTTTGCATCCAGTATTACTTACATTTTTGTAAAGTGTTCACATGAAATTTTTCCTATTCAAGACCATTGAAAACATAATGAAATGGTTCAACTTTAATATATTTAAATAAATTAACTTTTAAAATCAAGTTCCCTTATACAGTAGTATAGCTACAGTCAAGACTTTCTATTACTAACTGAAGTTTTGTTATACGACAACACTACCTTTTATACAATTTTATCTTGTTTTTTAAGAGAAAATTCAAATTTGTTTAGTTTCAGAAATTAGACATACAACTTTCCAAGTGACTTTGATTTTCCTAAAATAACTCCAAGCAGTTTTTATTCAATCAAGCAATCAATACGTACTTATTGAGCTGTTCTATTTACTGAGACTGTTGGGTACTGACTATTCTAACTTACTGTGAGTGACTCCCTCATTTAGGAAGCACATAAACAAAAGCAGGGGCAATACATCTTGTCTCATTGTCACTTTCTATTAATTATCTTAGAGTTTTCTGTTTGACCAATCTTATTTTTCATAATTTAAAGTGTTATTTAAAGATGATGGTTCTTCCTCAAATGTTATGAATCCTCTTTCTTTGCATAATTGATTTTTCTCATGGCCTTCTTCCTTTCTTCAATAATCTTCTGATGCTTAATTCATGCTTTAGTATACATATGCTAAATATGCATATGTCATATATCATATACTCATACATCATATAACTTAATCTTTAAGAGATAAATGTGATTCTAAAATAAATTAAAGCAGACATATTTTTTGTTTCTATGATATTAGGCTAGAACGAGGAAGTAATTTCAGACAGAAATCTAAATTTTAGGCTAGAACAAGGAAGTAGGCTTCAGACGTGAAAATGACCTTGGGCTAGGACCAGGAAGTAGGCTCAGATACTTTGGTCATCTTGATAAGCCCTTAGAAACAGTGATCACGGGAGTGTTCATGTAATTGGGTTTAATGCCTTGCTTTTTCCTTGACTATTTGTGTTTATTATCTTGCTTGTTCCTTGACTATTTGCATCTATTGTATTGCTAGACCCTCAACCTAGAACTGACCTTAATACATGCATGTAATTAAAATGGTATAAAAGCAAAAAGGAGGGGGGGATGGGATGGGGGTTCTAGGGAGGGGAAATGGGGAAAGGAGATAACATCTGTATCCAAACAAAAAAATTTTAAAAAGGAACATAATTTCTCTATTCTAAAAATTATAAAGTTATTATGTTTGTTATTATTATTATTATTACTGGTATTATATCAGTGTTATTATAATTATTATACGGTAGGTATAAATCACTGTTTCTAAATTACTCTTTTACTGAAAGTGTGCAATGCCATGGCTTCTGTACTTTTTATTTTTGAGATTAAAATGGATTCTTAAGTTTCAGTGAGCATGTTTGTATGGTACTTTGTATGGTACCCCACTATGCATACCACAGATAACTTCAGGTCACTCAGCTGTTGTTCCTCAGCAGTAGGCAGAATTCTATTTGAATTTATTCTACTGAAAAAAATCCACACCAAAATTTTACTTTCTTACTAGAATTCACTAGAAGTCTCTGTGAATGGATATATTATTGAAGGAGATAATGGCCAGAGGGCATTTGTCAAGGTAAGTGACCTTGACCAGACATTACTGGAGCTCCAAAGTTGAAAGGCCATTTAATGCCATGAAGTTCACTGATTCAAGTCTGCAGATGCAGTACAAAAATACATGGCAGATTGGCCGAGTTTCATGTAGAAAGATATAGTTCTTCAGATTTCAGAGATCGCTCTGGGTAAGAGTGCTTGCAGCACAACATGCCAACCTGTGTTCAAGCTCCCAGCACCTATGTAAATAGCTGGGTATGAATCACTTGCGACACGCTTCTGGAAAAAAAATGAATAAATAAATAAATGCCCAGGTCTTTAATACTATCTTTAATTCATATTATCAAGGAAAATATTCCCAAGAACCATTTTTAAATCTCTCTTTCAAGTTGCGTATCTTTATTTTTCTCTAGAAACATCTATAAGAGACCATGCCCTCTGTTGCAAGAGTCCTGATACACTTTTCTTCTGCCTCAGTAGAGTAGTTATGTTCTCTTTATTGTGAATGAGCAGAAAGCTCTTTATCATCTTTTGTCTTGTTTTCATTCTGCCCTGAAGAAGAAAAGCAAGGTAAGATAAAGGAATCGGCTGCAGCTACCCAACTATGCTCTGTTGACTCCTGTAAAAATAACATTTTCCAGGTCAATACATCTTAGCTTTCCCTCCATAAAAGAGTAGGAGCTGTAAATAACACAGTGCGGAGATATGTGTGGTACCCACATGACCCAGCATTGTGTTCCAAATGTGTACTGCTGAGTTCTAACTTTGGCTCCTCATTAAGTCAAGTCATCCTTAATAGCTGCATGGTCTGAAAACACAAACCACAGGAAACAAGAGCTATTCCACAATGGTACTACACTCATACCTAAAGTGTGTGTGTATGTGTTTGTGGTGTGTGTGTGTGTGTATGTGTATCATAAGTAAGCCTTCATATTGTTATGTGCATCTGTGCCCTTGGGAACTAGGCACCTACATCAGGATAAGATGTCTTCCTAAGTTGCTCTCCCCCTCATGTTTTAAGACAAGGCCTCTCAAGGAAACAGGCACACAGTAGCCCAATGAACTTCAGAGATGTGTCTCCACTTCCTGCTACTAATGTTCACAGTGCTACCAGGACTGGGACTATGCTGGGATTCTAAGTGTATATAGACACACCTATGCTTAATTGCATTTTCACTTTAGATGTGACTGAATTTCTTAAATATCTTCATTGTGTACATCTCCCACAAGCCTGAGGCTGCAGTTCTACAGAAGTGTTTTTACCGTAGAGTTGTGGTGAAGAATCCTCTCTTAGGATCACAACTGTGTCATCCACATTAAAGGAGGATGGATGGTCCATATGCTCCAAGTTTTCCTAGAAGCAGTCAATAATCAAACATGTAACATGAGAAGAGATATATTTATGTAACTATGAGAAATGAACAGCCTGGAAAGCTTAGAGATGTTCTGTGGAACCATGCTTTCGACATAATTCTTGATGTAAAAATTAAATTAGTTTAGCTGAAAAGTTAAATGGTGGTCTTTTCACTTCTCAGTAACCCTAGTTAAATCCAGAAGACGAGGCATTGGACACTGATGCTTGGAGTTTGCTTCAGACAACCTTGGATATTAACAACATTCAACTTTCAACCCAAGTCAGCCATTCAAGACATTTCTCAGAATTTTGGACACAGTTCCTTGAACAAGAGTTCATAGTTTCTCTAAGTATTTGGCATTTTGTGTGGCAGATGAATGGATGAATGAATGAAGTGGATTATGAATACTAGAGGCTGTCACAGTAAGCTCAAATGCTCAATCTACTGCCAGAAAGTGTAATCAGAAGTTTTTCCGTGGATGGCAACAACTCCAAAGGTTCATGGAACACTGGGGAACACACAGGGGCCAGTCAATTCATTGAAGAACAATCACTGCTTGCCTAGGAGACATGGCAGTGAAGTACATCTCAGAGAGTTCTGACTGTGCCCTGGGGAAGGGCTTCCCTATAAGACAAGAGATAAACAGAAATGCTGGCAGGAAACCAAGGCACAAAGACAGCTCTGATGTCTGTTCAGTCCCATTGTCCACTTTGTCATCAGGTTATTTGTCTTTTTGTTGTTGAGTAGCAAGTGCTCTTTATCTATTATGGATACTAATCCTATCAAAAGTCTAAACAGTCAAATTTGCAGAGCAGAAAGAACAAGAGTACCTATAAGGAATGGAGGGAGTAAAAAGGGGGGTCGTTGTCTGATGGATGAGGTGTTTGTTTAATAACATGAAGAAGTTCTAGATGTCTATTTAACAGTGTAAACATATGTACCACCATTGAGCAGGACAATGAAAACATGTAAACTGGCGAATTTCATGGTATGTGTTTTGCTGTAATTTTTAAATGAAAATAGAGTCATTGTGAGAGAAGATAAACTAGGCTAGGTTTTAAAGGAACAGGAGTCAGAAGGCCAGTGCTACAATAGTCAGTTTTTCTTCTGTGCACCAAAGTTCACCCCATTAGCAACAGTCTCTAGACTGGGCAGAGGCAGTTAGTGTGAACACAGTTCTAATGCCCATTCAGGACAGTTCCACTATTTAATGCTTTAAAAGAAAGTTCACTGGGGTTATTTTTTTTTAATTGTTGCTGTTGATTTCTAGAAACTGCTTGACTGCAAACTAAGCAACCATGGGTTCCCTTGATTTTATTTTGCCCTAGTTTGGTCAAAATAATTGCTAGCACAATATTTGGAACTAATTTTTAAACCTCAATATGCTTTAATCTTAATGATTTGTTTTTAAATTATCTTAGTCTCGTTCCTCCCAAATCCCTTCACAAGCTGCTAGCTCCAGCTTGTCCTGGATTTGACTGGCATGGCCTGAGAGCTACTGGGTCTCGGTTATTCCCGTGACAGCTTCATAGAAACTCCCTGTTGAAGTCCCTCAAAGCATATCCGGTACTTAAAAGCACTTGGCCACACTGCTCATGAATGGAGGGAAAGGAGCAAGCAAACATAACCTCTGCTCAAGCCAGAGAAATTCTGAAGTCTTTGCAGTCCATGATTTGAGATAACCTATTGACTTTTCCTTCAGGTCTGATTGTGGGTCAGTCCTAGGGAAAAGAGCAAAGGTGAATTCCTAAAGGACAAGCAAGACAAGGGCTTCTGTCGTTGGCGAGGAGGCTGTAGTCACTTAAGCCAAGGGACATACCTGGGGGCCCAGTCTCAGAATCAGGAGGACTCTGGCTGAACTAGCTGGCTGGCCTGGCTAGAGGAGAAGGAGATTAAAGGCAGGAGGCGGAGCTGCGGGGCGGCGGGGGCGCGGTTGGCGGCGGCTGGAGCAGGCGGGCTCGTAGGCGGCGCCGCAGCCCTAGCCTGTCCGGCTCAGCGTTCTGCAGGTCCCGCGCTGCCTTGCTCCCTTAGTTCTCTGTTCCTGCACTGAGAGGCCGGCCTCGCGGGCGGACACCTTTTGGAGAGTTTGCGCTGGAGCTCGGGCAAGTTTCTTCCCCAGCCCGCACTGCCGGAGTGGTACCTGCAACAGCTCCAGGGACGGATGCCGAGGTAACTGCACTGAGGCTCAGGGGATGCGCGGTACCCTAAGTCCGGGCGACTCTGATCACCGCGGTGGGCGCGGCTCTGGGCTGGGTAGATGTGTATGGTACCTTTCCGGCTTCGTCACCCCTGGGGTTAAGAGTGGCATCTTTTGACTCCGGTAATCCCCTCTTTGGGGCATTACAGCCCACTTTAATCCACTTTTTTGGATGTCGAATGGGCGGAGAGAGAGAGAGTGTCTGAAGACTTGGAGACCAGTACACGCACCCAGGGGTAACTTAGAAGCTACCTGGATTGAACTCCTGGCGCCCCACCCCCACCTCCTATCCCCATGGTGCACCGTGAACTCCAGTATTCTGGCGACACACCCGCGTGGGGACAGGTAGAGCTAAGAAACAAGACACCGGAGGGAAGAGTGTTGAGTTTCCCAGTGCAGGTCTGTCCAGTCCTCTGGCTTGTCTGGTAGAAAGATGATTGTCCCTACCCTGGTGCCTCCTTTGCACTGGCCCCAAACTCCGTGCAACGTTGCAGATCCTGCGGGCTAGGTAGGAGGGAAGATTCCAAGCAGGGGCGAAATGATGGCTAAGCAGAGGGCTTGAGAGGGGCAAAGAGAGTCTCAGGTGTGAAGCAGGTGAGGGAGGAAAGATGCAAATTTTCCATCACTCCTGTGGGGTTCCTTTCTCACCATTTCCTATCCCTCTTTTGCCTGGTTTGAACATCCTGCCCAGCAGCATGTTTCTATAGAAAGGCTAAAAAGTAGTTACGTTTGATGCCTGTCAGGAGTTATTTCCAACTAAGTTCCTGCGTGTGAAGTCTACAGCTGTGGCCCCTCTCCCTCAGATCCCAGTTGGCCGACCTCAATACTCCCACGGGCAAATTGTGCCTGAATCAGCCCCAGGATTTTGAAAGGAATAGATGTATAAAGCACAGAGTATGTTTCTGTGAGCACCAAGCCCCTCTAGCCCCCGTGTTCTACCAAGGGGTCCAAACCAAAGCCCTGTGGATGTGTAATAGGAAATTCCCCTCTTCGAGGTCCCCTTTCTGATAATTAGGATAGTGATTAACCAGTAGCTATTTCTCTTCATTATTCTAGCTCTATGCAATTTTGCTTTCATTATTCCTGCTGGCTTAAAGAACACGGACTTCTTGTAGACTGACACAAAACGCAGTGTGGCCGTATTTAATATTTATCTGTCTTCCTGATCCAATGGTCCTGCCACCTGCCACTTCCCCAGCGTAATCATAACACCATATGCTTATTTACCAAACGGAGGATAGGAAGAATGTCATTGTTTTACATGGGCAAAAGTTCCCAACTATCATATTTTATTATTGCTGTTTAAATGAAGAGCTTCAGTCAAAATGAATCTGTTTGAGACAGGACAAATTTATACATCTACCCAAAGCTTTCAAACAAAATACCTGAACACTCCCAGTTGGTTAGGAAATGAGGGAAAATTAGACTATCGTCAAATGAGAAACATTTTGATTGAATGCAGTCAATAAGAAACAACACTTATCAAACACCTAGAAAAAATGAGAACTTTTTTATTTCATGTGCTTTTTAACATTTCCACTTGAATAGTACTTTCCTTCAGAAAATGAATACCTTGAATATGGAGTTGGTCTTTACTAACTGAACATCATAGTGTGTGATATAGGAGCTTGGTGACAGTCCAAAAACGAGTGTTTTAAATCATCCCCAACCATCTGTTCTCTCCCACTTGCTTACAGTGGGATAGTTTTATTATCACAGGTATCTGAGCATGCTAACTCATTTCACACCTCTGCATGAGCATCCCCAAAGCTGACACTGGTGTCAAATTGACCCACCTTTCACAACCTTTATCAGGCTGCTAAGTTTCTACAATAAGCCTTTGGTTCCAACCAAGGAAGAACTCAAAAGTCATGAGGCATTTTGCCCAGGCTAGCATATATTCCAGGAGGGTCTAATTGTATTCCATCTTTTGCTATTACAGAGAAGCTGGAGATTAATGCAGCTAGAAGATCTCTTGGTGATATTATTTCCTTCATGGTGAAAATGGACATTAATTGATGTTCTAAAGATATGGGTGAAACATGTCTTGATCTCTAAAAGTTAATATGGTTGTACCAACTCCCTGGGGGGAAATTATGAATTTAAAAAGTCAGTGTTCTAGACATTGAACTAGATAGACATAGGGAGAGAGAGATGGCTCATTGGGATAAGGAGCTTGCTGTCAGGCTTGATGACCTGAAGTCTCCTAGGACTTATGTGGTTGAAGGAGAGAGCAGACTGTCTAGTTCTCCTCCCACCTACCCCTTATGCACACACAATACGCACACATACATACCCACTGTCTCACTTACTTCTCTGTTGCTGTGAGAAGTCACCATGGCCAAGCCAACTGATTAGAGAAAGTGTTTAATTTAGCTTTTGGCTTCAGAGGGTTAGAGTTCCTGATGATGGAGCAAAGTGTTGGCAGTGAATATAGATGAGAGCTCGTGTCTCGATCCAGAAGCAGGAAGTAGAGGGCATACTGGGAATAGCAACCAGTCTGTGCAAACCTCAGAACCACCCTGAGTAGGATACCTTCCCTAACAAGTTCACACATTCTAATCCTTCCCAAACAGTTTCACCAAGTAGGGACCAAGAATTTAAACATATGAGCCTATAGGGCCATTCTTATTCAAATGACTATACAGTCAAAACACACACACACGCACGCACACACACACACACACCCCATAGATAGACCTAAATAATGTATAACAATTCTACCATAAGTATTCCCATGCAAGAATAACATAGGATAGCATATAAATAATGAATGATTTGTGGGTATAGTAGTTTATATGTATGTCTTGGATTTGGATGAATCAGTATGTATGCAATTGATAAATGGACTAACAATCTCTGTTTTGTAACTATTATCATTCATGGCAGATTGGAGGTTTTTTAAACCATTCTCATCCAACTCACTATTTTTCTATAACTCAAATATTAGAAAGGTTTTTTGTGTGTATATATGTACTCAAGAGTGTTCAGGTATAGCCTGTGTGTAAGAGTGTGTGTGCGTGTATGAACATACATGTGGAAGCCAGAGAACAATCTTGGAGGTTTCCTCTCCTGAGGTTTCATCCACTGTGTTTTTTAGGGAAGGTCATTGGCTTGGAGCTCACAGTTAGGTTCAGGTAACCTACCAGTGAGCCTCACATCTGTCTGTCTCCAATTTCCTAGCTCTGTAATTACAAGGTAGCACCACTATGGACTACTTTTTCACAGAAGCAAATTTTGTTGTAAGTTATCTATACAGCTCCATGTTTATTTACAAGTCATAAAAATCGCCAATCGCCAATTCAAAGCCATACGACCTGTAGGTGTGTACTTGTTTGTGTGTGTGTGTGTGTGTTTCCACATGCTCATACATTTCAGTAACTGCCCTGTCCCCAACCTTTGGGATTATGTATCACTCAAAATGAAGTCCTTCAGAATGGCCAGAATGTTAGAGCTATTGCTTTAACTCAGATCTAAGTGCAGCACCCCAATTTACTTTCTTGATTTTAGGGAAAAGGTGGTAATGATTTTGCTCAGATTGCAAAGATTTGACACTCAAGGAGTAATGAAAACCCAGAGCAGGCTTCCTGTTGCCCATAGAATCATGGACTGTGCTTATTTTGAAGATTTTTTTTTTTTTGGTTTTTTCGAGACAGGATTTCTCTGTATAGTCCTGGGTGTCCTGGAACTCACTCTGTAGACCAGGCTGGCCTCGAACTCAGAAATCTGCCTGCCTCTGCCTCCCAAGTGCTGGGATTAAAGGCATGTACCTCCACCGCCCGGCTTATTTTGAAGATCTTAACTTAGAAGAAGCAGAGCACTGAACAGAGTAAATCCAAACTATAGATAATTCTGAACGTAAAGTTGCCCTTAAAATATAGTCTAATTTAAATCTTTATTTCTTACATAAGAATGTATTACCTCTTATTTTTTGGTGTACTAAAAATGAATTATTGAGGGGAAACTGTTTTACCATGTATAGTAGGCACTCTGAATTATTCATTTTAATGAGAGGAATAGAAGCAAAGATAATCTAAAATCATGGTTATTTAAAAAGTCGTTTGTGTTTGTCTTTAGAATATGGTATGTGTTTGGTTTGAAAAAGAGTCCCATTGTTAGTGTGGGCAAGTTGCCTTTCTAATTTTGTTTTTGTTTAGGTTAATTTTTAAATGAGCTTACATGCCTCAAATACCAAAACCAGTTTCTAAGGAGGTGGGGGCAGGTGGGCATCTTGCCCAGAACCAAGCTGGGTGACAGAAATAAGCAAATCTGGAACAAAAACTTCCCAGTGAATTATGTATAATTCACAGCAAGACAATCAAGACTGTATTGTATGCCATTTAATGGACATGTCAAGCATTGGATATATTCCTGGGAAAACGAGGTTTGTTTGTTTGTTTGTTCTCTCTCTCTCTCTCTCTCTCTCTCTCTCTCTCTCTCTCTCTCTCTCTTCCTCCCTCCCTCTCTCCCTCCGTCCCTTTCTGTCTCTCTCTCTCTGTCTCTCTGTCTCTCTCTCTTTCTCTCTCTCTTAGTGTGTGTGTGTGTTGTATGCATGTGTGTGTGGATAAATACATGGAAGCAAAAGGTAACTCATTTCTTCCTTTATTGTGTTCTATTTTATTTTCTAATTTTCTGAGATAATCATTGAACCTGAAGCTTGGTGATTGGCTCTGCAGTCTGGTCAGTGAGCTCCAGGGATCTGCCTGTCTTCACCTCCCAGTGCTGGAATCACAGGCATAAGCATCCACTCCTTGAGTGTTGGGGATTGGAGCTTAGGTACTCAATGCTTAGTGAACACGTTAGCCACTGAGTCCTCTCCTTGGCTTCCAGTAAGAGTCCTTTACTCCAAATTTCGGAACTTTAGTCTGACTTCATATCTAACACAGGCTAGTAATATGATTTAAATAATATAATGAGTGTTTATGGAGCTAAATAGAACATATTAAATATATTAGTCTATAGGTCTCACAAA